AAAAAAAAAAAAAAAAATTTACCAGGACAATAAGGCAGTTTACAGTCAGAATGGTTGGCATTTTTGGTGTACTAGGAAATAATTTATTTTGCGTAAGCCTGTGGTCAGATCATTTTATGCATATGCAATCTGGATTAAATTTCAAGTACCTTGTTCAATGTTGGTACATTTACATAAATTTGTTTTGATTTTGTCATGTAAAATACTGCCTTGGTCATCATCATGTAATCTGTATTTGTGTACCTTCTTTTTCTGTTAAAAATCTTTAAATAAAACATTTAATACACATAAAAAAATAAAGCCTGTGGTCTTAACTTCCAAGTTTCTTTCTTGGTGTCACATTTGACTCTCTCACAGGTAAAGGAACATCAGACATATGGCATACCTTGAATCTCTCCCTCTGTTACCCAGTCTAACTGGGAAGGCAACGTGAGATAATCCAGTCTAGAGTTTGAGGCCAGATTTGTGGGTTCTATTCACAGCCCGGCATTCATTAACTCAACTCACCTCACTATTCTGAGCTTGTTTCCTCTTTCTTAATGTGGAGCTAATCATAATTCTCCCAAGACAGCTTTGAACATATAATATCACAGATGGAACATGGAAGGTGAACAGTGTTCTTACAAAATGGCAAACATTTCTACCATGCGTAGTTGTTTCATGTACTATCCTGCTATCTTTATTTACATTCCTGCATTTATTTCCACCTATAACCCTCCATAAATGGAAATAAACACTTGTGTCACAAGTCAAGCACAGTCCTACACTTTGAGAAGTCACTAGGAATATTTCTCCCTCTCTGTTTTTAAGTAGTGACTGGTTCATTCTTAGAAATGTGGGTATTGAGCAGGATATCTCCTGTTCTCTCTTCAGCTCTGTCACTTGCACACTTCATTCAACATTCATCCAGATTTGGAAGGAAGACTCAGTGCTTCCCTCTGCCACTGCCATTCTCTCCTAGAGCTGACCATTCACTATGTACCCTCTACTATAGGATCCCTGCTACAGTATTGCAGAGAAACCTCAAGGGCCTGGTGGAAGAGCATCTCCTCTCACTCCACAGTTTATACAAGAATGTCAAGTTGCTTGCAGGTTCCTCTGTAAAGTAGTTACTGGTGAAGCAGTAACTTAGCAGAGACTCTTCTGAGTAGTCAGCAAGTATGTGCAATCTGATACTGGATGGCACCTGGCGCTCTTCCAGAACTGCAGAGTCATGGCCTAATGTGTCAGAGGACATACAGAATGGAAAATCAACCGTAACACCAACAGACCAGGGGCTGAAAGCTGACAATAACCCAAGACAGCAGTCAAGTAGTTGCAGAAGAGAACACAACACCAGAACTGAGAGCAACTGCAGGAGTTAACTTTTATTTGATGTTTCCTCACCTAGAGTGGGTTGGGTCAGAAGCAATTTTATTTGTATTTGTTCTTTAATGTTATTTTCTCAGATATGACTAATCCTTCAGGGAAACTCATAAACCATGCTTCTTTTTAGCTGTGGAGGAAAAAAAACTGATTGAATCAAATTTTTTTCCATATGTTTATTTAGGCAGCTCTTTATTGTCCTCCTATGAGATGTTCTAGGGAATGAGATTAAAAGGTATTTATGCAATTAATTTAAATGGAACTGTGCACCCAGGTGAGAAGAATCACAGACAGAACCATTCCAGACTGTTGGGTGAAGAATTATTTGCATATTAAAGGTGCATTTTCCCATTCAATAAATCAGCGATTTCAGATAGCTCACACTTTGTACACTGAGAACCATAGTCTTCTACAGTTGTTAATTTTAATTTTTAGATAATTTTGTATCTGTTAAGATCTGCATTTATAGATCACATCCCAGGAGCCACACTACAGGCACAGGACAGCCTGTCCCCAGTGGTGTCCCTCCCCACTTCCCTTCTCTGGGGTTGACCCAAGCATGAGTCCTATTGAGTCTTAATCTCCACGCTCTGCAGGAATAGTCACTGCGAGTTTCCTGTGGCTCCTGGTGGTCAGGCAGGAGGTTCTCATTGCTTCTCTTCACACTCAGTAACCCACAGGTGCAGTGATACACAGGTGCACAGAATATTGCGTGTAACCCCTCTCTGTGCCCATGAACATGCACAGAGTGAGAAGCTCTCATGTGTCCATGGGCCATAGGGTGCAGTTTCCACACCTGTGCTATCAGTTGCTATGTGGGAAACTTTTGAGCATCCAGATAGCTCACTCTGTCCCATAGTTTCATAACAGCCTTCCCTATGGAAGCTACACTTCCTAGACAGCAAGTGTTGTGCTAGAAGCTAGTATTTATAGAACTAAATGGAAAAGTTCTGGCTTCTGCATGCTTTCTGAACACCAATAGAAGTCCTCATATTTGTACCCGGTGTGTCTGACCTTTCCACATAACTCACCCATTCTCCACCTTGGTGTTTCCATACTCACCCACCTGGCCTCTCCTTCTAGTTCCTGTCTGGAGTGGATGCCTGGTGCAAGATGTGCAGTGAAGGTGGCCTGCCATCTGAGATGCAAGACCTGGAACTGGCAATCCACCACCATCAGACCTTGTACGAGCAGGTGACCCAGGCCTACACAGAGGTGAGAACTGAGAAAGGCAGCTGGGGTCCTGGGCATGTGTGTGAAAAACCACTCCCCTGTGCACAATGAAATAGACTTAAAATTTATATAAGAAGAGAGGAAGTTTTTCTCCTGCCTCTTTATGAACATCTTTATGGACTTTGAGCTATGAACTGTGGTTCTCTGGCTAGGAGCAGGTAAGTTGGGACCATTAGCAGGCACCATGGTGGTATACACATTCTTTGTTTCCTCCTTTTTCTGTCCCTTCCCCCCACCCCCTGCCTACCCTTGTGTGTCAAGACTAGATTTATCTGTCGGTGGAGGAGAGGGCAAGAAGCAAGGCTTGTTCCTCCATGTTTGCTTTCAGGTTGGTGAAGGAATGTGTGCACACCAGCCCTGTCACCTCCTTTCTGAGCAGCTCACCAAATCCCACTAACTTTCTCACTGGAAGATCCATAGGGAAACACATGGGGAGGAGATAAGGGTGCAGGAGTGAGAAGAGGCCATGGATGTGAAGAACAAGTGAAAAGGCCTTTCCATTGAAAAGTGAAAGGCAGAGGGGAACACTGCAAAGTCAAGGAAAGAAACTTCTTGACATTCCTTTTACACCAAAAGGAAAGGCCCGTATGGATTCCTGGTGTGGATTCCAAGAGAAAGGTGAAGGCCAGAAAGAGATAGATGGCTTAGGAAGCTAGGTAAGGAGGGGAAATAGATGCATGCCTGGCCCTTCTGCCTGCATCAGATGGACCTGAAGTGCTGGCTGAGGATGCAGATTTCTAGGTTCCACCCCATTCTGAAGCAGAATATCAAGAAGTGGGGCCTAGAACCTATGTTTTAATGACTATTGTCCCAGGTGAGTTTGCTGCATGTTGAAGTGTAAGGTGAAGCTTTCCAGGTAAGAGTAAGGGTTTTTGTCACAGTCAAAACTGAGTTTGAATCTTGGCTCCCTTGATTCTTAGCTGTGTCACCTCAGGTTACATTACCCATGCAAGCCTAGGCTCTGTGAAATGAAGGTGCTAACATCTGCCTCCTGTGGTAGTGTCCAGGGTTATAAATGCAATGTATATAATGCACTTGTCCCAGCCTGACAGTAATATGTAATAAACATGGTAATAGATCTTGTCATTGTGGGAGGTACAGAGGAGGAGTCTGTGAGCCAAATCAGATCTCTGTAGGTCTGATCCAAAAGGCCCAAGGCTTTCTCTCTTATGACAAAACTGTGACCTCTGTGGGTCAGGAATCTAAACTTACTCCTTGTAAAATATAAAAGAGAGTACAAATGCAATTAATATGCTGCTTCCATAGTTCACACATGTGAGGTATGTGGGCAATTATACTTGTACCATAGTTCTCCCAACTTATTCTCAGGCTCCAGAAACATGGACCTTCAAACCTCTGCCTAGTTCAGAAGTCAGGGCCAATCTAGGCCTCCTGCAGATGTGGAGACTGAGACAGAGGACTGGAACTCATGTTGACTTGGATTTCCAGGACCTGGACCTGTCTGTAATCACCCTGCCCCAGACATAGTGCCCAGAGACAGTATTCCTTAAAGAGAATTGTCCTAGGTTTAGCCATAAGGTATCTGTCTGATTCACATCTCTGGAGAGCATTACCTCTACACTATTTATAAGCTACCTCACCTAACAATAAATTACGAGAGATGAGGATGGCGGGATTGGGTAGGTCGTGATGGTTTCCTCTTCCGCCTTAACTACACTCTACCATAGCACTCATTTCAACCACTGCATCCTGGGATGGCTTCTGTGGCTCCCTGAGCAGGATTCACCCTGCCTCTGTTCCTGGACCCCCATCCAAACCTGAAGGAGGGATGAGGGGCAGATGCAAGGTCCCAAACATTTCCCTGTTCATCATGGTGGGGGTAGATATAGAAGCAAACCTCCTTTTTGATCTTGCCGATTAGGAAAAGAAGACCTTTTCAACACCAAACCAACTTCAGTTTTGATATTAACCAAATTAAGTTGGGGGTCTTAAAATGTCTGTCAATTCCCCACTGACCACTGTATTAGACTAGAAAAACACATGTTCTACTGGGTACTCTGCCCAACAGTGCTGATCCTAGGGTGCAACTTCCCGGAGTTATTGTTAGCCATGATTATGCCAGGATTCCAGTTAGAGGAATGACAGGGATTCCACCTCCACTGCTGTCAGCTCTAAGGGTGAGTGCCCAGGGCATGGATGGTCTGCTCACAGTCTGAGTGTCTTATGTTACTCTGCTTGTGCTAAAAAGATGCTGTTCAGGAGAGACAGAGGGGTTGTATAGAGGGTGGGGAAAGGTTAAAAAACACATAAAAGAAAAAAGTGATAAGCAAATGAAGACAGGAACTGGGAAAGATGATGAAGATGATGAAGTTACTATGTACTATGTGCTGGGCCCTGTTCTAAACACTCTGCATGTGTTAACTCACTTTACTCATCACAACTCTATGAAGTATGTGCCATTGTCATTCCTCTTTTACAGACAAGTAAACTGAGGCATGGTGCCTCTGATCACATGTCTAGAAGTTTGAGGTCAAATAGAAGAAACTGAGGAAGAAAGAACAGGAAATGTTTATAGTGGTAACTTCTACTTGACTTCATTTCTGAAATGAAGTTCTTCTGCCTGATGTAATCAGCAAGCCATTCAAAATACTCACTGAAAGCCTATGTGTGAGACACTATTGTGGACATTGGGCAGAGAGCTTTGAGCAAGGCAGAGTCCCTGCCCTCATGCTGCTAACATTCAAGTGGGGAGCAAGAGTCTTATAGACAACTGGCCAGCCCTCTGGCAGCTCCTCTTTCCCCGGGGTTCCAGATGCTCTGCTCTACAGCAGGCAGGGCACCATGGCAGCTGTGGCTGGCTAGCACATGGCTTGGTTGTGATGAGCCTGGGAAGGACTAAGCTTCTCCGGACTAATCAGGAACCCCTAGGAAAGACTCTTTTTACCTCTCTGTGTGTCCTGCCTCCCTCTGAATTCCTTTCCTTCCTGCAGGTCAGCCAGGATGGTAAAGCACTGCTGGATGTGTTACAGCGTCCCTTGAGTCCTGGGAACTCTGAGTCCCTCACAGCCACAGCTAACTACTCCAAGGCAGTGCACCAGGTGCTGGATGTGGTGCATGAGGTGCTGCACCACCAGCGGCGGCTTGAGAGCATCTGGCAACACCGCAAGGTGCGACTCCACCAGCGGCTGCAGCTCTGTGTCTTCCAGCAGGATGTGCAGCAGGTAACAGACTCTGCTTCCCTGTGGCCCTTATCTGTCTCAGGAGACAAACTGAACTGGAGAGGCTGACCTGGTAATCAGGCATGGAAGACCCAGACTGATAGAGGGATGATGACAATTGAGCCCCCAGCTACTCCCTTGCACCCTGCAAAAACAAAACAGAACACACTGAAATTGTTGATTGCATGCTTCTTGCTCAAACAGCTTTTTAAAGCTGGGCCTTCTCACTGTGTGGTTTTGGAAAGGGAGGCTCAGTCTCAGCAATTCTTTCAATCATATAACACTTTTCTTTTGGCGAGCTTGATCCTCATGTAGGCAATGAGATTGCTAAGCAACTTGGGGGTTCCAGGGTTATCTGAGCACTGCCAGAGTTGGACTCCCACATAAAGAAAGCTCACTTTTTGGTCAGCAATGGAGTGGTTAAAGAGAATGGAAGTGGAGTTAGAGACTTTTAGAAGATTCATTGGCAAAATTGGACCTGTGAAACCAGATTTAAAACACTGGCTATTATTCACTATACATTCCATGATTAGGGGTTCCTTCTAGCTTTATCTATCTTTCTGCATTATTATACCAATCATGGCTTTTCCTTTACTACATATAAGAAAGAAATGGTGATCCTTCTAACCATAAAAGGGCAGTGTTGCCACAAGTGCCCTTTGAGAGGAAAAACCTATTCTTCTCCCCCTTTGTACTTTCTGTTTCTCTCTCCTTGGGAACCCTGGGAACTTTACCCAGAGGACTAAGATGAAGGAAGCTTGATAGGCGCTGGACCTGGGATTAATTGGGATCAGAGTCATCTCCCTGTGGGTTCACTGTGGGAGGCAGAATATGGCACTCCATCTCAAACACCTGTTCCAGACTTTTCTATGGCTACTTTGTAATTACAGGTTTATACACATGAAATAATGATTTACTCTCCTTCCATTCTTCTGTGGTATTGACCAGGTATAATACAAGAGTATAGCAAAATAGACATGGGGATTAAGAGCCATGGCACATGTCTTCACAATGCTGGGGGTGAGGGAGTAGTGCTGAGTGTTGAAGTAGGCAGGACACCTGTGACACCTTCTAGGGTATGGAAAGGTCACCTGTAGTTAGTCTCCCAGGAGTTGAAGAGACTGCAGGTGTGCCCCTTTCCTAGGGCTTCCATGACTCCCTTGCAGCGGCCCCTCCGAATGGGCTGGGGCTGCGATGGAGTTGTCAGTGGAACACCTCAGCCCAGAGAGAGTGTAGTGCTGATGTGGCAGCTCTGAAACCCTGGTAGGGCTTGTGAGAATGGAGAAGCAAATGAGTCAGTCGCCTGCTTCTGCCATCTGGAGCCGACCAGATAAATATATCATCCCTGAGCACAGAGGAGCAAGGAAGTCTGTGATGGAGAAGTGAGGTACCAGCCTTGCCGGCACAAAGGAGGGGGTGTGGCTATTTCTGTGAACTCTTGGTGACTCCTGAAGATGATCTGGCCATGGATTGTGGATGTCACAGTCCCGTCGGTTCCTGTTTGTCCTCCTGCTGTTCTTAAGCCTGTGGCACTAGGCTGAGCTCTGCAAGGAGAGCAGGTGAAAGTCCTCAGTGCTGGATGTGGTGGTGCATGCCTGTGATCCCAGCACTCTGAAAGGCTGAGACAGGAAGATTGGTGTTGAGTCCAATGTGGGCAATTTAGGGACTTAGGTCCTGTCACAAAAGAAGAAAATAAAAAGGGATAAGGATATAGCCCAGTGCAAAAGCCCTTTCATATAGCCAGGACTGAAAAAAACAAACAAAAACCAAAACAAAACCTCCCTCAAGGATAGGGTAGATGGGGCAGCATGTCACACTCAGGGTCTCAGGAACTGCAGCTGTCAGACTTCCCTGAGGCCACCATGATGTCTACACAAAAATGAAAAGAAAATGAATTGAACTACATGTGTAGCTATTGTACATCATGCTTTTAAAAGCAAGAACCTTTCAGTTCATCACATGGTTGGCAATGCAGGCAGAAGGTTAGGAGCTGGGTATGGTGTGCTAGGTGCTTGGTTATTCTGTGTGAATGGAATCCCCAGGATGTTTAATCCCCTTGTCCTTTTCAAGATCTGTGAATATGTCTTCTGGGAGCACAACCTCACTCACCCCACTGGCTTCCTTGCTCACTTACCATGTATCTGACAGTAGGACAAGTGCAAGAAAAATAGTGTGAAAATAAAGATCTAAAGCTGATGATGACACCTAAACAACCTTTACCTGATACACAAACAACCCTTAGTACCCAACAGGTATCTGAACTATGCTTCAAAAGGAAGCTGAACTCACACACTTGAGAGACTTGGTCTTTGGTTCCGGACTCCCAGCCATGCAGAAGCTTGTCATAATTTTCAGGATCAGACTTAGACAAGCAATTTCCCTGCTCCATATTCCACAGGTGTGTGTGTGTGTGTGTGTGTGTGTGTGTGTGTAATTTTGATAACACTCTCATTTTTATATTACAGTAAGTCCCTGACTTAGGAAGAAGTTCCATTCTGGTAGAATATTCGTAAGTCAGATTTGTTCATAAATCCTACAAAGTGAGTCTTACACACCTTTGACAGAAATATACAATGTGAAGTATTTAAAAACCAAACCTCCACATTACCACTGCTTTTCCTCTTGTTTCCAAGCATCCTGGATTCTGACTGAACACTGTATTAGTGTGCACTATTGTACTGTATAGTAAGCACACAGCAGCACAACTGTAACAATGTCTGCCAGACAGGTGAGGTACTGCCATGATTTGTTCACATCTATGTAACTCGAGGTCCATTTTTATCTGTGAAAGTTTGCAACTCGAATGTTTGTAAGTTGGGGACTTACTGTATATTATTGTTTTTAAACTTTGTGTGTCTCATCTCATCTATTCCAATATCTCCTTGAGAGTAAAAACCTGGGCTTCTGCATCTCTGTGATTCTTAAAGCTCTTAGCTATCTCTACATGAAGCTGAGGCTTTCTTTATGTTTCCTGAATTTAGTTGAAATTACTGGAGGAGCACATTTTCTACTTCTATGAAGTGAATACCATTTATCCTTCCCTCACAACATGTCCATTAGTTTCTTTGCTGGTGAATAGCTGGAGTCTGCCTGAATTGACATGAAAGTCTTGAGGAGCCAAGGTTTTATGTCCTAGACAGAGGGTGCAGAACATGAGGGCCTCAGTGCTCATGAAGTGTCACTCTGATCATCAGTTATTAGGCAAGTCCATGCCCTGCTCTGCCATGGGCCCAGCAATGCACTAGGTACAGGTAAGGTGCCTGCTGGAATGGCATAAACCATGAACTTTTGAAAAATAAAGGACAAGTCTATCAAAGCACACTGGCCAGTGTGCAGGGCAATACAGTATCAATGAACAGGTATAGGCAAAGGCATGAGAAATCAGAATTAGTGTCTTGATAAGAGAGAAAATGATTGAACCATACATGTAGTCTGGATCTAAGATGCCTCAGCACATTTGGAATCTAGAGATTTTTACCCAGAGATTTTTTTTTGTACTTCCACAGCCTCTGTGGGAAGCTGGTGTGCAAGCATCAGTGGCCAGGGTGATATAGAATCGTAGATAAATGCACGGGCTCTAGAGTCAGCCTGGGCGTAAGTCCTATTCTGACATGTGTTGCCTGTGTAACCATGGGTAAATCGCTGCAGCTCATGGTGCTTTAGTTTCTTCACCTCTGAAACAGAACGGATAACAAAAATACCTGTCTCATGAGATAGGAATGATTTGCGAGCACAGAGCCTGCCCACACATAGTAAATCCTCAATGACAAGTGGTAGTCACATCCTCTTTGTGTAGTCTTCAGGCGCCCCCTAGTGTTCATACTGTTGGGGGCACACAGCCTGATTCTATGACAGCAACCACCACATGAGTTTGCTGATACCATTTCATTCAGTGACAAAACCTCAGAGATGTCAAGGATTCAAAGAGCATCCAGTCTAATCTGCTATGCAGTTGAGGATATTGAGGCCCAGAGATGCAAAGTAACTTGGCCAGGTCCACACAGCTAGTAAATGGTAATGCCAGTACCAGAAGCTATGTCTTCTGACCTCTTAGTCCAGATGTCCTAAGACCACCCACAGGAGGGAGGAAGCAAGGAAACACAGGAGAAAAAAGATAGGAAGACATATTACATGGGGACAGGTGGGGAGATAGATGTCTCCTATAAAACAGGGAAGATAGGGTGAAACAGAGACACAGGCAAAGGGTAAAGAAAAAGATAGAGATTTAATGACAGAGGACAGAAAAAGAAGTATAGCTGGGGTAGGAGGAGAAAGGAAAAAGGAATATGGAGGAAGAGAAGGAGACAGAGACCCTTGCTGGAGGCCAGGGAGTCTCTGCCTGCCTGACATCTTGTCTCATTGCTATTTCTGGGAGCAGTCTTTCCCAGGTAGTAATATTCTCCCCGTGGCAGAGTAAAAAAGAGATATACAAGCAAAATACAAATGCCAGTGAAAAAGAGATTTCATTTAAACACTTGCTGCCAAAGCGAACCTGACACCTTTCCCTTAGGTCCTGGCAGGTATAGTTGCAGCCCTCTCTCCCCTGCTGTGCTGGGAGATGTTGGAAATAAATCTTCAATGTAAAACTGGAATTTGAGTTCATTAAGCTGAAGAAAGGCATGGGTAGGGCATGGCTGCCATACTGTTGCTAGTGGAATAATTTCAATCTTATTATTTTTCCAGCTTAGTAAAGAACAGTACTGAGCAGCAGGTTAAAAAGCATTCCATGACAGTATCAGCCAATAACCACTTCTCGGTTATTCTGCCCTAATGCCTCTGTCTTCCCAGGTGTGTAAAAAAGCGAGTTTCAAGCCAAGTAGACTTGACTTGTGGTTGGAAGAGAAGGGAGTAACTAGAAGCTTGCTCTTTCTGGGAGATGCAAATTCCACTCTATTTTTCCTTAGTGAGAGCAACTGTTTTCGGAGTATCCCCTGCAGGCCACCCAGTTCTGCATCCCTCTTTGTCTTTCATTTTTTGCAAGAATAAATCTTTAAAGTGCTTTTGGGACACCTACTGTGTGCAAGGCCCTGAGCTAGGAAGTCTGCCCTTGAGGGTAGACACATGCAGCTGAAGACTTGCTGATGGCATGTTGCTGTCTGTGTTCAGGGCCAAGAAGCAAAACAACACTGAGCTGACCCAAGTCTGAGCAGAAAGGTCCTTTTGGTGGGGGGTGAGATTTGCATTCATCCTTGCAGCACAGGCAGGGGAGATGGTACTGTTATTCTTGGGGGAGGCCAGAAAGCAGAAATATAAGTTATAGGCAGGGGACAGGGAAGAGGAAGTCTAACTGGATGCCCTTTTCCTACCTAGTCATAGTGAGAGATAAGTCTGGAAAGGAATTGGGAGTGTTTGTGGTCATGTAAGCAGGACAGTGACACATATGAGGCTCTTGTGTCACCTTGCCTTAAAAATAATGCCTTGTTTTTAAGCAGTCCAATCAGGTTAGCTAGTACAGGGCAGTGACAGCAAGTTTTGTCTGACTTGGTGCTTAACATTCTGAATTCATGAAAGTTAATATTAAAGTCCATAGTTTCTGTACTACAAATGAATCTCATCTGCTTCCATCAGTTTTTTTTTTTGAGCTTCATATGGAAAGTTATAGCTTTTATTATGTTGATTCTTACTTGCCAAAAAATGTCTGAAAGGGATTTGAAAGCAATTAAAAAAAAATTCCAGATAGTCAATCTTTTACTAGCTGTAGTGGCTATGGCTCCTTAATCATACTAAACCAGTATGGTTATTATACAGTGTCATTCACAGCTTTGCATAATAAAAAATGAGCACTGTGTTTTGCTCTCAGAATGATTAGTAATTTAAAAATGACCAGAATGATGATAGATCTAGATACTAACTCTTCCTATAAGAAGGAAGAATTCAGATGTCTGAGAAGGAAAGGATCAAGGCATCTTCAGCACACATTCAGATCAGAGAATGACAACATGGGGAACCATTCAGAATGTGAAACACACTCGTTACTTGTGGGTACTTTAGGAAGTACATCAACATCAGAAAGAGGGTTAGTTCCAACTCTGAGAGTCCATTTCTGAGGCTGAGTATTTCTATAAAAGTTATGCTGTTGAAAGCTCAGGGTTCATTATCTGTATGAGTAAACATGATTGAGTATCTATTCCCCTCACTTGTCTTTTCTTATTTAATCTTCCAACACCATGAAGCAGGTGACAGTTTGGTCCTTATCTTTCAGATCAGGAAACAGGCTTAGAAAGATTAGGTGACCTTGCTCAGGGTCCAATAGCTAGTGACACATCAGGAAATCAAATCTGAGTCCACCTACCATCAAAGTCCATGATCTTAGTCTCTCCCCTCTGCTATAGGCAGTGTAGGATGATGGGAATAAGAGACACTTTGAGGGGTTTGTAATTTAGTGCTAGGTGTCAGTGATCAAAGGACTCTGATAAATTGGTTAGTCCCAGAGGATGAGATCTGCCTGATGTCATAGCCTGATAGCCTGAGATTGATCCTCAAACTGTCTTGCCCCAAAGACAGTAATGCTTATATCCCAACATTCATTTCCCTGTGTCCTATCATTTTGAAATGATACAGCTATTTATCTCTAACAGAAATTACCCTAAAACTATCACTACTCATTCTCATTTATTTTTCACAGTCACCATTATGTTAACTCAGCCTTGCTGATGCTGTTCTTTGTGGGATAGATCTTGAATAATATCCATTTGTCTATGGTAATTCTTAGCTGTATTCAAGTCCACAGTTACGTTTTTAATGATGATAAATCAATTGTTCAAATATTTTCAAGTAGATAACAGATGATTCTTTGGGTAGAGTGAAACCTCAGAAAGAGTTCAGGGTTGAGGTTTAGCTGAGTCGGGGAGGGAGGGAAGAAAGGGAGGATCCTGTTTATTAGGGTTGCTTTTGATTGGAGTAAAGATAGGGAGTCTTTCCTTTTGGGATCCTTGATCTTAGAGGGAGCCCTCTATCCTTCTCATTCTAGAAGGAGGCTAATGCTGAGAGCTCTGGTTTCTACTCTTCTCTGTGTCCCTAGCCTCCATAGGGTAGGGGAGTGAGTAGGGCTTGTCGCTCTAGATTCCATTTCTCTCTATGTGTCCCCAGGCTCTGCAGGGTAGAGGGGTGAGCTAGAGGCTCCCATGGGTATTCTGAGACCCTTCCTGCCTGAAAACTTCATGGACACCTAGTACCCTCTTATTCTTGGTTCCCAGTTCCCATCTTACGTCCACCCCCCCTACACACACCTCTTTCCTGCCCTACTCTTCTGCCTTCCCAATTTCTTCCCCACCATAACCTTCTCCCTTGGTGTTTACTTCAGTATTGACTTTGCTTTTCTGAATGCAGACTCTGTCTTGACTGAGGAGTGGTCCTTCCTTTGTAAGCAGGCTAAATGCTGGTGGGCCCTGGGAGGCAGTAAAAGCAGGAAGTCTCTTTTAGGAGTTACTGAGCCTCTGAGATTTCTTGATTGGCAGTTAATTTTTAAATCTTTAATATCCTCAGTGCCTTTTGATTATTATGTTAATAAGCAACAAGACAGTCACCATGCAGGGTCACCTCTTTCTGATAAACCCTATGCTTGACATGTCCTTGATCTCAACATGCTAATTCTGGAGCCTTGGATGCCAGGCTAAAGGAGAAAGGATTCATACGATATTACTAACTGGGAATGATCGGAGTGAAGTGTGAGGTAATCTGGTGCAGGTGTGTGGGCTGGGGGTGAAGAGGAAGAGGCTGGCAGCCACAGTCATGGTGCATGGCCGTAGAGCATGAACAAGAGTAATAAAGCAAGCATGGATCTGACAGCATTTATTTAAAAATCACCAAAATTACTCTCCATTTTCTTATAGAAAACAGGGAGCTATCAAGTGTAAATATGAACTATATTTTCCAAATTGTGGTCCTTGAACTCCTGCATCCTGGATATCAAGGCAAAGTAGAGGGCTTGTCAAACACACAGATCATCCAACCCTATTTCACATATTTTGATGCAGAATCTGGAGGTGAAAGGCACCTATATTTTAAAAAGAATCCAGAGTTGATGTTTAATCACCTTGAAGTTCAGTACCTCTGGCAAGAGTTTCAAGTTTTAGTGATTAGAAGTATGGTGACTCCATAAACAGAACTGGGCTGAAGAGATTCTTTCAGGGAGGTACCAGGAACCTCAGCTTTGTTGCGACAAGTAGGTCTTCTGACATAGTCAGAAATTAAAGACAGAGGACAAATCCTGGCCCTTAACCTGTTAAGGATTTAAAAGTGATTTTGCTAAAAACTCTGACTCTTTACAGAGGTAGGTAACTAAAAGCATAACAAAGCTTAACTTTCATTTTGTATTCTTTATTACCTTAAAACTTTGGAGATAAATATGTTGATCATTTAGAAAAAGGTGGCCAAACAAGGTTGATTAGCCCTAAATTTACCTTGTGCATCTCATCCTTTTTAAAACTGTGGACAACAAATAAGAGATTTACATGCCCAGAAGCCTCTGTTGCCCTAACCCCCGGGTCACCTTAGATTCCACCAGAACCTCACTGAAACTGCCTCAAGCAGAAACTATCATCTTATAGGAACTAAAATGCCCCATCAATACCTTAAGGATTCCTTCAGAGCTATGGAAACCAGAACTGAGATAATGATCAACCAGACCACCTCAGCTAGTACTTAAAAACCGGTCTGCTGCTTTTATGAGTGAGCCAGTCTGATCCTCTTCACCAGAGTGTTCACCCTCTAGCTACTACTCAAGCTGGAGTCCTTTCTCTATTTTCTCTTACTTTATAATTAAAATTTTGCCTGCTTTAGTTTTAATTTCCACTATTACTAAAGGAAGGACTCACACTAGTTGGTGAGACTTCTGAGATCTTTTGGACCTAATGCTGGCTCCTACTCAGCACTGAAGAAAGTGTGGAGAAAGGATTGTACCTCAGCTCACAGGGGAATGAGAACCTATATACCTGCTAATGAGGTTTAGCTCAGCCCTCTCAGAAAAGTGATGGGTCCTCCTGCCATAGCAAGACATTTATTTTGATTGTACTTGTTCCAAAGAAAGGACAGAAAATTAGTTGCTGGTAATTGGGCGTTTCATGTGGTGTCTGCATGCTCCAGAGTCACAGCTGCCAGATCTGGGTGGTACTGACTGTTCCCCTGTGGAACTAAGCTGGGTATGCTGTGCAGGCAAACAGAAATAATGATCTACCAGACTCTCCTGGGTGTTCTCACACACTGTGTTCCCGAGCCTTTAACACAAAAGGTGTTGCAGATGCCTGATTCACATAAATGCTCCTTCATTGGCCTCGGAATGATGGCTTTCTAAACAGGTAGGGGTGGGGAGTTGGGGTGCTGGGAGATAGGAGATGAGAGCAAGGAGTTCTTCAGTATTCTTTTTTTTTTTTTTTTTTGATTTACAATTTTAGGTGCTTTATTATCTAAAGTCAACAGGGAAGATACAAAAGCTGTTTTAATTACCAATCAAGTACGCTAGGGCTCTGGAAAGTTTGGATCCTTTTTGGTAAGCTGCTAGATGACTGAAGCAGTCAATTAGTTGGCTGTGTTTTTATGTCCTGGCTTATTTTTGTGGCTGCTGAATAATGTAGATCCTTTTCAGTGGAGCGACCTTCTCCAGAGCAGGTGTGGGTTTTTGATGTGCCATGTGCACTGTTGCTGGAAATTTATGGTTGAGCTTGTCCTGTGTGTCGTTCAGGGCATCCAGTGTCTGTATTTTTGCAACATTTGCAATGGCACTTATTTTCTCTAATCCTGTTTTCTTAGTTTGTTTCTCCAACATGCCGATTTCTTGTTTTTTGGAAATTTGCATTCCTCCAACTTTTACTGCAGGAGGATGCCCCCCTTTGAGTGGGGATAGCAGGACTTGTACTTCATTTGCCATAGCTTGTGCCAGTGTCTTGCTGGTGGTGCTTTGGAGTGTCAGCTTGGGCTGCCCCCAGTTCTTCAGTATTCTTAAAACATCAAGTGCCTTGCTTATTTTACCATGGATCAAATTATGACACAAACTTAATAGCCTATTTTGAACAAGATAATTTATCAAAGAAAGCTAGGTGAGGCAATCAAAGAGTTAGATTCTAACTCCACATTTGTTTGCAAAATGTCTCTATTTCCTCTTATGATGTTTGCCCTTTATCATACAGGAACTTCCAAAATCAGATTTGTTAGAGTCACTCACTCATTTATTCAGCAAATGCTCTTTGAGAGCCAAGCAAAGCCCCTGCTCATGTGGAGCTTATATTCAGTTGTACAAATAAAACAACATCCAAACTGAGCAAATATATACACGTTGTATAGCAACAGCCAGTGCTGTACAAGTAGAGAGCTGAATGAATATATGTGTCATGCAGAGGGGTTTAAAACAAAGGGCCCAGGCCAGTGGAATGAAACCTACAAATTCCTAAAGGCCGGAATGTTCTCCCATGAATTCAGTCCTATTCATGCCCACTGTTAAGAGATGACCAAAAGTTCTCTTCCAAAGGACTTTTCCTTTCTCCTTGGCAGCTAGAAAGGACTGTCTTCTGCCCTGAATGGCACTGTGTCTTGATTGTATGGTGGTTGGAAAAAACACAATTAGATGGGGAAGAAAGAGGATGATTAAGAAATTATTCATAATGGCTGTTATTAGATTAGCTCTCAAATCTGGTTCAGGATGTAAGTATGTCTCTTGGAAAGGCTGTTCTCAAAAAGGACTAATTTCTGGTTGAAATGCCAGGGCGGGAAAAAGAAGGGAGAGCTTTACAATTGTTAAGGGACTGTCTGCCTGTTGTAGTGGTGAGTGTGGGCTGACTTGCACTACTGTTCTCATGACAGGACAAAAGCAGACTTCTTCAGAATGGAATGACACAACTTTTCCCAAGTAGTGAAGAAGCCTCCATCACATAGGCATGTATCAGCATTCACTGCCTGTCCCCCAAGCTCGGGATGAAGCAGGGTTGCTTCCTGGTAGAGTAGGGCGCTCTTCATTCTCCCAGGAACTACCTGCCAAGTGGGACAGTGGGCTGGAGGTGGAAAAGGGTTAGGAGTGAAAATGTACAAAGAAAGAACTTTGAATACAGACTTTTAATACTCTGTAACTAAGCTAGAGTTACACTGGGACTGTGAAGCAAGTGACATTGACCCAAGGTGTATGCTGGAGGGATCAGTTTGAGTACATTTCAGTCAAGTACATTTTAAGCAACCAGTCTATGTAGAGTGCTATGTTGTATCAGAGTCTGGTGGGAGACAGGCCTGTGGGCCTTAAGTGTGGTTTCAACAGAATCTGAGAAGAACCATACTATAACTTCCTCAGCCTGGATGGCTTATTAAAGGATAAAAATCTTCCATAGCCAATGATCTTGGGGTATGGCTCAAAGGATGAGTGGAAGGCAGCCTGGGAAATGGGCACAGGAGCAAAGGGGTATGGACAGTTCAAGAGAAGGAAAAACAGTGTGAACAAAATTCAAGAGATGAGAAACAGCCTTAGGGTGCTGAGGGGTGAGGCGGGAACTCCCTAGAGGAGGTGTGGACAGTGAGGAGCTGGCCACAGGAAATCTTGTCAACGTTGGATATCTGGCTAATGGGCCATTCAAAAGTTATACTGCCATGAAAGCACTTTCAAGAATGTACATGTTAATTCCATTTAAGTCTAAGATTATGTTTCTTAAATGGAATCAGTGTCTTGGTTTTTATTATTAGGATCCAGCTACATTAGCCATTTATAATTTTAAGGCTTATATAAATTACTTTCTTGAAACTAAAGGCACAGCTTGCCAGAATCAGATGGATAATATTATCAAAGGCTACTTCTTACTTGGTTCAGGAACGCAATGGTCATTTATAAAAACCGGAGCATGGGCTGAGTGTGGTGGTGCACCCTGGTAACCCCAGGAGTCAGGAGACTGAGACAGAAGGATCGCCACAAACTTAAGGCTAGCCTGGGCTAAGTGTGAGACCCTCTCAATTCAAAGAAAGGAAGGAAGAGAGGGGAGGGAGAGGAAGAGAAAGGATGGGAGGAAGCACACCAGGACTCACTACGGTTTACCTCAGCCTTCTCCAGGTCCATTTCCTACTTACTCTTTATTGACACTCTTTTAAAGCAATTTTTAACTTAGTTAACTCCTACTCTCCCACTAATCTCAGCTAAACCTCACTTCTTCAGAGAGGCCTTCCCTGACTCCCAGCTCCTTCATCTGACTGTTGATACTTTTCATCTTTGCAGTTAATGAGGAGTTGTGTGACTTCATGACTAGTGCTTTTACCCCCAGAAACTGAGTTCCTGGAGTTGGGGCCATGTCTACTGCTGCACCCCTCAACTCCGCAGGGATTACTCTAGTACCTGGTATTGGGGCACAGTAAGACAAAGAAATGTATATCTTAGTATATGGATATTCATATTCCATACATGCCTCTTTGCTCCCTGAGACTTCTCAAAATAAAGGGGTGAAACCTCCAATGTTGGAAATGCTTAAATACCAATTCAAAGCAGTCAGTAGACATAAATAGCTATTATTCTATTTATAATTGGTCACTGAGTATTTTAAATATAATCTTGTAGATGAGAGACATTAAAAAGGGGGAAGATTATAAGAGATACTTTGATAGGTGATTGTACTTACGTAGGATATGGGGTTTGGCTACCAGTCTTCAGATTCTGAAGCCTGGCTCATTAACTGGACTTCACAGAAAGAAATGAATATCTAGAATTCCAATGTTGCACATTAATTTATAGTGTGTAATGTATAGTCAGGCACTGCTGGTGTCTGGTCAGCACTCCCCTGGGCAAAATCTACCTAGGAAGCTGGGTTGCATCCCAGGGTTGCAGGGCATAAAATCAGGGTTAAGACAGCATGAAATCTAAATGTGTGTCTCAAGCGCTGAGGTCTCTAAATGAACTGTCTCAGACAAAATAGTCAGAAATCAGCATTTTAGGCAAAACTGTATATACTGATTATGATTATCTGTCCTTGGGTACGTTTTCAGCCTTAAAATATTACTAAAGTAATTTTGTTCACTTCCTAAATTGTTTGCTTTTTTATTTGTTAAATTGATTTTCTTATAGTCCCAGATTCCCTGGCCAGGTTGCATGTATTTTTCTCACAGGTTCAATTTTACTGGCAGAAGTTGAACTAAGTGGTGGCAATATAACATCACCGAACAAAGTTATATTTAAAGCAAGTAAAAGACTCTCAAAAATAAGATAAATTGGTTTTTCAGTGATGAAGTCTGCATAGATGGTTAAGTAAACTAAGTGCCACTAACTGAAAATGAATTGATATTGTAAAGAAAGCAAAATAACTTAGAAAGGAAACAAGTTGCTTGAAGGGTTTAAAAGCTGTGAAATCACCCCTGAAGAGTGCAAAAATAAATGTGTATGTGAACTAGTGGATGAAAAGTATCCCTCTTCGACTAATAAGTTTTAGAATAACCAATTTTCTTAAAGCTAGAAAATAAAGTGAAATAAAATTAAATTTATAAAAACATTACAAGATAATCAGGTCACATTTAATTGCTCAAAACTAATTTAAAAAAAAAATTATCTGAAAAATCTGTCAGAAATTCTAAAACATTTGGAAGCTGTTGTCCTTGGGATCAGCTATCTTGAATATCCAGTCTGAGACTGACTACTGTGGCCTTTACTTACTTCCAAGGTTAGGAAGTAAAGGAGCCCCAGGAACATGATGAGATAGGATCTCCATGACTGGTCACCATTGCTGTGAGCATTTTTGTGATAGATTAAGGGATGAGTGATAAATTAAGGGCCAAAGTACTGCCCAAACTGTCTCTCTGCCTCATTTCCTGTCAATCTGTCTGACTTTACATGGTTGTGGTAGAGACAGTGGGGGAGTTAAACTATGCCCAATAGTCTGTATACTTGTTTAAAGTGATGACTTAGCATATGTGAGGCCTAGGGTTTAATCTCTAGACTAAAAAATAAAATAGATAAAATAAAAGACTAATTAAGGCTAAGAAAAGTGAAAGAGTAATGAGAGGATATTCTAGCAATCAAAGAAGTGATTTGAATTTAGTCAGGGGTAGGACTATTATATTGCCAATAACTATGCTGAAATCACTTGCATTCACAGTGGTTTAAAACATTTCTATGGGAACTGCTGCTCTCTGATAGGGATGGAAAGCTGTGTAGGGCTTTAGAAGTTGCACATGTTGTCACATCTTTCCTTCTTCTGAAAAGTCATTGTTTTTGTTTTCCTTCTTTGACCAGGTGTTGGACTGGATTGAAAACCATGGTGAAGCCTTTCTCAGCAAACACACTGGGGTTGGAAAATCCCTGCATCGAGCTCGAGCCCTGCAGAAGAGGCATGATGACTTTGAAGAGGTGGCTCAGGTGAGGGGCGGGGGGGAAGAGGGAGAGAGAGAGAAAGAGAGAGAGAAGAGAGAGAGAGAGAGAGAGAGAGAGAGAAAGAGAAACTATGTCATCTGGTGAGGAAGACCAGGACAATGGCTTTGGTGTTTGAGGGGAGTATATTGGGTTGATAATGTATGGCTACTGGGCCTGGTATAAGGAGGTCTTTCTTTTCTCTTGAATCACTAGGTGAGTGACAAATAGACCCCCAAGTTCATGGTCTTTAAAGAAAAGCTTCCTGCCAGCATGATCTAAAAACACTTTGTGCACAAGGCAGTGCTGGTGGGAGGGTAACATTATTAGAACAATCATCAACCCAAGGCTACTGTTTGTGACTATCAATGCTGATGAATGGGAGCTGAAAATCACCCAACTCACTTGCAAAGCCACTCACCTTCCAGGACCTGGAGGAAGAGATGGCATCTGATTGCTGGCCATGCATCCACAGGGTCAGATTGCTCAGAGAATGCTCCTTAGAGTCACTTGCACAATATTTATGCTGTGATTTACGCATGTTCAGTCTTTCAGTTGAGCTTCATGTGTGATCCAAAAAGAGTGCTATTTTCTAATCTGTGCAAAGGTGCAGTGTGAGAGATCCTGATCATTTGTCTAATGGTAGAATGACATAGTTTCTTCTCAGAGTTTTTACCTCAAACATTTTATTCTAACTCTGTTATTTTTTTTTTTTTTTACTGGAGAGTTTTCCAAAAGGATCCTGAAATCTTCAACTTCAAGATGAAATAGTGCTGTCCAGTTATGTTGGAAGCTGTGATCACTTGTAGCAGAAAAATAAAATTCTTAAGGATAAGGTTAAGGAGAATATCTCATTGGGACAGAGGGATGGGTGTTGCTCGAGTAATAAAGATGTCAAAGCTATGTTTTACTACATCACAGCTTTAGCTAGGCCTGGCTGTGATTTCACTTTGTAGGCAGCCCTCGGTGTGGGTGCCATTCTGGACATTGTGCAGTGACTCAGCCCCCACCAGGATGGCTAACCAGCCCCAGACAGACTTGCCTTGTGGGTTCAGAAAGACAGGGCCCACCAAGAAACAAATGATAACAGAAAGCTGCAGAACATTACCTCATCTCTTGGGAGCTTCAAGAACATACTAAAAAGAGAGAGGCCCTATGGGAGCCAGAAAACTCCATGTCTACAGTGACCTGGACCCAGGGAATGAGGGTGGTTTGAACCCTACCTGAGGATAAGAAAAGCCTCATATGAAACTCTTGTGCACTGTTGAGAATGCAAAACGTTGCAGCCACTATGGAAAACAATATGAAAATTCCTCAAAAAATTAAAAGTAGAATTACCGTAAGATCCAGCATATCCACTGGGTATATCCCCAAAAGAAGTAAAACCAAGGACTCAAATAGCTATTGTTACACCCATGTTTACAACAGCATTATTCACAATAACCAAAAAGAGGGAGCAACCCAAATGTCCAAAATGTTGGGTGTATGGGTAAACAAAATGTCATATATCTATACAATGGAATATCATTCAGCCTTAAAAAGGGAAGAAATTCTGACACATAGTACAATGTGGAGTAAACTTGAGGACATTCTGCTAAGTGAAATAAGCCAGTCACAAAGGGACAAATAACTCTAGAGTACCAAAATTTAAGTATCACTTAAATCCAAAGAACCAAATTCATAGAGGTAGAATAGAATGGTGGCTGTCAGGGGCCGAGGAGAGGAATGGGAAAGTATTTTATATATACAAAGTTTCAGTTTTGCAAAATGAGTTCTGAGGATAAATTGGTAATGATTGCACAAATAATATGAATAAACTCACTGTTACTGGATTGTGCACTTCAAAATAGTAAAAATGGTTTTATGTTGTGTATATTTTACCACATTTTAAGGCTGTATAGCCAATGAGAGAGAACCTTTGGCATGTGTAGGAACAGTCCCTAATATATCCTTTGATGGACAAGATACAGCACAGATCCAAAATATCGGGGTGGCCAGATACCCTGGATGCCTCTCCAGTCTGTTAGGAGAAAGGATGGGAGAAGACACATAGACCATGAAGCTCCTTGTTATAGGAATAATATTGGACCTCCAAGAATGATATAGGAGAAATATAACTCCCAACCTGCTAGATGTCACATATGCCAAATTCATGTTCCCCAAAACGAAAGAATGGATTCTAAGGAACAACAGAGGTTAAGAGTAGGAAGATATTTGTTGATAAGAGTGCTCCTGAGAGGCAGGAGGGGTTCCAAATGGGTTGCCAAGGACCCCACGTTACAGGGAAGTTTTATAGAGCAAAACCACATGGGTACAACATGGGTTAAAGCTATGATCAACCAATAAGGTTATAAGTATAGTCACTTAGGTAATAGTGATCCAATGGGGAAGCAAGTCAGTAGCAAGTGTACATGGAAAGAACAAAGAACTTTTCAGGAAGGTGATGGGTCCAAGGGTCTTGGTCACCTACCGAGGTGACTGATATCTATCTAGACTTCATTAGACCAGGTGTTATATATCTTGTCTCTTGGGGAAGTATGTAGGTCTGGTCAGTTTGTCTTTATCTTGAGGCCTGGCCTCCAACTCATGCACCACTGGCCACAGTTATAATGTGTTTTATCTCTTGTACTGACTCTCTCGAAGGCCCAGGCCTATCTGACTGCCTAGAATATTTCTACCTAACTTAGATGTCTATAATATCCTGTCTGCTGAGAGTGGGGCTTGTAATACTTACTGGAGTAGAGCCATCCCATAACTTTGGTGCTTCTGCCTCTAGACTGTCCTTTAGTTTAGACTCTCCTTATCGGGAAGAGTATCCTGACCTAGCTCAGCCCCTTTATCCTCACGGGTAATGTCGATATTGGTTATAGCCCATCTAGGGTCTATCATTTTGTTGTTATTTTGTTTTGTCATGGTGAGTACTGAACCAGGGCCATTGTACTACCATATCTCTATTACTTTTTAAAAATATTTGAAACAGGGTCTCATGAAATCACTAAGTTGTCCAGGATAGGCTCAAACTTGTCATCCTCCTACCCCAGCCTCTCAGAGTGCTGGTGTTATAGGCATGCACCTCTATTGTCTTGTGGCTAGCACATTTTGTGGCTATCTTAGCCCCATTTCTCCCTACTCCTCCTCTGCCTAACCAGTGCCTGTTGCTCTTTTCACGTGGAACAATACCTTTCATTTAGCAGCAGAGACATACTGACTTAATTTTATGCTAAAGAACAAATGGACACATTTTCAAGAGTTATGATTCCATGGTAATAACTGGATGATAAATACGGTTGGCTTTGCTTTATAGATGGCAACACTGAGGCTCAGAAAGCTGTCAGTGTGGTCACATCATCCAGCTTGTCAGTGGTTCTGCTGGGATTATTCAGGTCTGTCCGACTCCAGAGTTACCTGTACCCTCAGTCCACTCTGTCCCTCTTTATGGAGGTATAGGAACTGAGCATAAAATTCATTTTTCAGGGCTGGGGATTTAGCTCAGTGGTTCTGCCACCTGCCTTGCAAGTGCAAGGTCCTGAGTTTGATCCCCAGTACCAAAAAAAAAAATCATTTTTCAGCACCTGTTTGCACATGGAGCAGCACAGCAGCACAGAATGAGACTGGGGAAGATGGGGATGCTGCTGTGCTTGCATCCATTACAAGTTTTCTCTGGCCCTTTCAACAATAAACCATTGATATAATCCACACCACCATGCTGTATCTTTTTGACAGAGAGGAGAGTGCTAACTTCCAAAGGACTGACGCTTTGCAAAGGCAGATGTCCTCTGGAAACGAAAGCATGACCCGAAAGGGAGAACCCAAGCAGAGTTGTGAGGTCATTGCATTACCTTGTGGATGAGCCAGTGGAGGTGGAATTTGTTGAATGGAAACTAATCAGGCCTGCTTTGTTCCCCTCTCCCCACTTTGGGGGAAGGGAGTGGCCAGTATAACTGCCCAGCATCCTAGAATTGCTAGTCCATGTAAGAAAACCAACCTGGGCCCCACTGAAAGAAGACTGATTTTCAGTACCTACCTACCTAAGGCTTGCTTTATTCTGTGCAGTGTGATTACCAAGTGTGAGAACAGGTATGACTCTTCTCTCTTACTCTTCTGTCATTTAGGTCACTGGGAAGAGTAGATTTGATAAGGAATCAGAAAATTCTGGAATGATGCCAGACATCTATGACAGAAAGCCAAAGCATGGAAACCCTTGTTCCTTGTTTGGGCTTGCTGCTTACAAAAGATAATTAGGAAGGGTGTTATGCATGTGAAACAGGAAGCTGTGGATTTTGCTCTGAGCAGTAGGCTAGAGGGTCAGTTCTTTCAACCTCATTGTTTTATGATTCTTTAACCTTGGGCTAATATGAGGAGAAAGTTCTGAGTACCCATTCTCTGTTCAGGTTCAAAAAATTATCTTGAATCAGAGCAGGAAGGGAGCTGCTACATCTGTTATAGCACCTGGGAATTTGTCTTTCTGCAGGGAAGAGTAAAGCCATAAGCAGAAGAAATGGCCACCCCAGGGGAGAGGTTCAAGGGCTGTAAAGCCCCTGGACTAATGCATCTCTACTCTGGGATGGTGGGGTAATCTTGAATGGTCACTCTGAGCCATTAAAATACACATAAATGCTATCTGTGAAGACTTAATATAGCATTCCATTATCTATCATTAAACTTTAACTTAAATTTTGTGTTTAGTAGCTCATGAATATATTTTAAAGGATTCTTGAAACCATTTGCAGATGAATGAAGTAATTGGAGACCTCAGATCATCCTGCAGGTGGCACTCTTTCAATAGGCTACATAGAGGCTGAGTGGACTGGGAAAGGTGCCAGGTTCCTGACAGCCTTGCTGTGAGACATCCAGGGTGCAGATGGTGAGAGTCAGGGTAGAGGATGGACCAACCATCTGTGTCTACAGATTTTCCTAGTCTGAACTACTGAGGTTGTCACTGTCCACACAAAAGACATGAACACTGGTCGGAATGCCTCCTGGTCCTGGTAAAACTTGACTCAAGTGGT